TTTTTGTTGACCTTTGTCCATGGAAGGTCCCTGCAAAATTTCATTGAAATTGGTTCAGGGGTTTTGGAGAAGAAGTCGAAAATGTAAATTGTTTACGGACGCACGACGGACGACGACGGACAAAAGGCGATCGCAATACGTCACTTGAGACTTTGTCTCAGGTGACCTAAAAACTAAATTTGAGAGTTCAGAAAAGAAATTTAATATTCAGGAAACTTTTTAATTTACCAGTTAATGACCCGAATTCAGATTTCTGTGTATCCACAAGATTTTTCCATGCATCGTCTCCCTTGACTAGTTCAAGGTTGCCCTTGGACAGGGACCACAGCATGGACGGTGGAGTGTGGTACAGCTGAGAAAATAATACAGAAAACAACATTATGTCAGATATACAATGTTAAATTGATTTTGGTAGTTATTTCAAAGTTACCTTTATCTTAAATGCTTTAATTAATATATATATAAATAAGCGATGTGAAAGCAGTTAAAAATGCAATCATTTATTGGCTGGAATCGGATGTTAAACATTATAACATAATCATTTTGTACCCAATGTGTTATGTTATCGTCTACAGTACTCGTGTTGTGGTGATGTCACAATGATTTGTGTTGTTCTATGTACCTGTGTGTGTGTGTGTGTGTGTAGCGTATGTCCTATATTTGTGACATGACCCTTGACCCTTGACATCTATCACGGACATGCTGACCGTTGTCCTACATGTGTGTCACAGACCTTCCCGTTTCTTCCTACCCTTGTCCACTCCTCAGATCGTCATTCCAGCTCGGGATGTCAATCCTGTATCTGTTTACTCATTTATTGTCATGCCTGTGAGGGTATGCAGTACGTAATGCCAGTAGGAGGCCTGGTCAGAAAGTGCTATGCATGTTTGCTTGAGTATGCGACCGAAGGGCGTGAATCTATTTGGTATGAGTTAGTTGTTTCGGTCTGTTCCAGATCGGTGTATTTTGTCTTTGAATTTTTTTTTCTTCAAATTTTTGCTGATTAAAATATCAGGTCTACAATCAACTTGTCTTTCGTTGATGAACAACCAACTCCGAACGACAAATGGTACCCGCATTGAGCACCAAGTTAACAGAGGACATTATTTCATCAATGCCTCCACTAGGGGTTTGAACCTGTGACCTCTGGTTTACTAGTATTACACTACTGAATGAGCTAAAGAGAAGTTCTCCCTAGCCAAGTCAGTATGAAGAGATTATTATTTTGTACCTGGGTGACAATATCATTAACCTATATAAAAATCATTTTCTGGTAAAAAAAAATTTTAAATGCATTTACACTTGATATTGAGGAACATCGTTTTATTTATTCATCAAAATGTTTTGACAACTTTAACTTAAACAGGAATCAAATCTTGTGTCAGGTTAACATCTTAACCATTTATAAATATAGGTGAAATAGTGATAATACCCTTATTCATCCCTGTATTATAACAATGGACTATGATATCAATTGATATGGAGCAGTCCAAAAGGGTGATTAGGTGTTAATGGGTTAAAGAACAAGAGGCCCAATGGGCCTGCATCGCTCACCTGGTATAAAACTCACACTTGTAACCTTAAAAGTGATCTAAAATAAAGCTACAGGCAAAATATCAGTATTTATGATTAAAATTCATTCAAAAGACCCTGTTATTTATTTTTGGAACATTTCACCCCTGTGATTGAAAGTCGAACAAAGTCATTATGTTGAACACATTGTATAGCCTTTCATCTCAGGATGCAACTTGCAAAGTATAAACATCCTGGGACCCATGGTTATTCATAAGAGGTTGTTTAAAGATTTTAAACAAATTTGACCCCTGTGACCTTGAATATAAGTCAAAGTCATTCACTTTAACAAACATAGTAGTCCTTGATCCCAGCATATGCTACTAACTAAATATCAACATCCTGAGCCTTTTGGTTATTCAGAACAAGTTGTTGAAATATTTTAAACATATTTGCTCCTTGTGACCTTGAATATGATTCAAGGTCATACATTTAAACAAACTTGGTAGCCCTTGATCCTAGTATGCTACTGACTAAATATCATCACCCAGGGCATTTTGGTTATTCAGAAGAAGTTGTTTAAAGTTTTTAACATATTTGACCCCTGTGACCTTGAATATGGGTGAAGGTCATTTATTTGAACAAACTTTGTAGCCCTTTATCTCAGCATGCTACTGGCCAAATATCATTAGCCTGGGCAATTTGGTTATTCAGAAGAAGTTGTTTAAAGTTTTTTAAACATATTTGACCCCTGTGACCTTGAATATGGGTGAAGGTCATGCATTTGAACAAACTTTGTAGCCCTTTATCTCAGCATGCTACTGGCCAAATATCATTAGCCTGGGCAATTTGGTTATTCAGAAGAAGTTGTTTAAAGTTTTAAACATATTTGACCCCTGTGACCCTGAATATGGGTGAAGGTCATTCACTTGAACAACCTTTGTAGCACTTCATCTCAGCTTGCTAATGGCCAAATATCATCACCCAAGGCCATTTGGTTATTGAGAAGAAGTTGTTCAAAGTTTTTAACATATTTGACCCCTGTGACCTTGAATATGGGTGAAGGTCATTCATTTGAACAAACTTTGTAGCACTTCATCTCAGCATGCTACTGGCCAAATATCATCACCCTGAGCATTTTGGTTATTCAGAAGAAGTTGTTTAAAGGTTTTTTAATACAATTGACCCCTGTGACCTTGAATATAATTGAAGGTAATTCATTTGAACAAACTTGGTAGCCCGTCACCCAAGCATGCTACTGGCCACATATCAACTCCCTGGGCATTTTGGTTATTGAGAAGAAGATGTTTAAAAGTTTTTAAACTTCGTGCCAGGTGAGCTAATAATCAATTAAAGTTAGGAACTTTCAATCATTATACCCTAACAGCAAATTAAGAATAGTGCTGTAAGCTCAGAAACAAAAGTCTTACTCCAAGGATACGGTCAAGTCTAAAGGCGATCATGTGAGCTATATGGTACTGAAATGGTCCTGACTCAGCCAGGAAGACGCCGCGAAGGAACTGTTTCTCTGTTTGCATGCCCTGCAGGTCAACCAACACTTTTCCTCCAATGTTTGAACCAATCTTGACTGTTCGCATGTTGTGAGCTTTAATGATTTTCTGGGTGAGCATCTTAGCCTCCCAGTCACTGTCACTAAATCCTGCAAAGTTCAAGTTCAGTCAAGGTCAAGGACAAAGTCAGATTGAATACAACTAAGCTATACTGTCTTCTTCATTTTCAATTTTATTAAAATCTAGAAAGAAAATTTCACATGTACCTATCCCAAATTTTGGTTTTAAAATTGTTTTTATTTTTGATGACAAGCACATTTTTCGTGCATTTTTTACAGACTTTTTATTACTTTAATTTAATGTTACAAATTACAATGTTCTTCATTTAATGATATGCTTCCGTTACAGGATTCAAATCCTGTACACCAGATCCAGTGTTGTTTCCATGAAGCTCTAAAACATTGAACTTATGACCTTGATTACCTTTCAGCCCCAGGTGTGCCATCAGTCTCCTCTCCCGTGCCACCCTAGCGTCAGCAGTGAGGTTCAAGGTGTGTTTGAGGCATTCTACAGGTGTTTCTTTGGTAGTCTTTGTCTGGTGAGAAGGAGGATTAATGAAAGCAAGTGCAGGCTTTCCTACGACCGCCCCTCCTCTCACAGTCTCAGACGACTTGATGAACAGTGTTGCTCCAGCGTTTCGTTCTGGTTTTGAAGTGCCTGAATTTTTCGCTACCATCGTCATTAAAGCTAAAACAGATACAACACTTACTGTAATATCCTTGAAATATAACATTCAAATTTTATCTTTTTATATCATTGTTTTTTCTCAGGATCATTTCATAAGACTCACAAGCAAATTTGTGGCACTAGATATTTTCATGTGCTGAGGCATACATAGGAAAATTTCAGAGTGAAATGAACTTTCCAATAAAGAGTGGAAGATCATCGTCAGTTTGTTTCGTAACAATCCATTGTACACAAATACCACTACCATATTTGATGTAATTAGTACCCAGAGAGTGACTGAAGGGGCGCTTATTAAGATAATACAAGAGATCCCAGAGGGATCTTGGCGCCCACCTTTGTCCCATCTTCAATAGTTCTTTGTCAGTTCGATCTTTTCTCTTCTTTCCTCTAATCTGTTTGATCAAGTCATGTTAACAGTAAATGCACCTTGAGGTAACTTTTGATCTAAATTTAATACTGACATGTATGAAAGCCAACCTTGAAAGTGAGTTTGTCATTTCACATATTTACTAGTACAGTACTTAATGTGAAAGAAATAGAATCGATCATTGCAATATGAGAAAGATCTGAATAGTTCTTCTTTTAATCCATTTTGTTTTTATGATCAGACTCAAAATATAACATACACAACGAGGGATCAAGGGGAACCTACATTTAAAATTTGAGAAAGATCCCTTTAGTACTTCTTGAGAAATAGCGATAACAAACTTTCAGTATCAAAATCCAAGATGGCTGCCTGTCGGCCATGTTGTTTATCCGATCAGTCTCAAAAGTTGCCCTGCACAGCTAAGGACCAAGGGGAACCTGCATATAAAATTTGAGAAAGATCCCTCTGGTACTTCTTGAGAAATACCGATAACAAGAATTGTTTACGGACGGACGACGGACGGACGACGGACCACGGACGCAGGGTGATTTGAATAGCCCACCATCAGATGATGGTGGGCTAAAAACGTAAGTTATGACATTTACTTTGTTTAAAGGCGGCTTAAATGTCAGGTACATTCCCAGGGAGAATTCCGGATTTGTTTGCTGCTTTTTTTTTTTTTAAGTTCTAGAGAAAAGTTAAGACACTGACACTGAAGTGCCTGATATACAGTGCTAATGTATACTGGGAAATCTTCACTGCAGTTCAAGTTTTCGCCTGTTTCATCTTCTGTAATGAGGGTAAATAATTATTACAGCAAATATAAGTAAGCTGCATGATAACAATAGTATTTAAATGTGAAGGGATAAATCAACACTTGGCAAAACTTCATTTCTAGGGCGAATGATCAACTGGAAGGAAATTTTTTTTTACACAGTATATTTCCTAAATCAAAATGGGTCAGGATGGAGGGTGTGTTTGGGGAACGAAACGACTATCATTTCAACATTTGCCGAAAAAAATGGGAAACAGGCGATGTCTGGGTTAGAGGTAAAACAGCGATTATAACAACTACTCACTGACAATGTCTGGGTTAGAGGTAAAACAGCGATTATAACAACTACTCACTGGCAATGTCTGGGTTAGAGGTAAAACAGCAATTATAACAACTACTCACTGGCAATGTCTGGGTTAGAGGTGAAGACAACAAACGCTTTACAGACTGGGTCGGCGTCACATGTCGCCTTCGCTTGGGCAAGGCTCCGTACCGTGATGACACATCCCCATGCCACACGCGATGCTGAACATGTGTAGTCGTTCATTCCAGGGAAGTTAGATTCAGACATTCGTATATAATCGTGTTGGGTCTCCTCCTATATTTGAACAAAATTCAGGATCACAAATTTGTCAATACATGAATAGTAATAATGCTAGCCTTTTTTAAAGGAAGGATCCCAAGTAAGTGAACGTTTTTGCTAGCTATGATACAGAGTGATTACAAAGACCCCTTTTGAACATTTTTGCTAGCTATGATACAGAGTGATTACAAAGACCCCTGAACGTTTTTGCTAGCTATGATACAGAGGGATTACAAAGACCCCTGAATGTTTTTGCTAGCTATTATACAGAGTGATTACAAAGGCCCCTGAACGGTTTTGCTAGCTATGATACAGAGTGATTACAAAGACCCCTGAACACTAGCTATGATACAAAAATGAGGTAAGCCTGATCACTAATGACATTGACATGAAATGAGATTTTTTACTATTCTTTGTATACAATTTTTTATAATCAACAAATGCCATGAACATTTTCTTGATTATTTTTTATTTGGCATACATAATCCATTAAAGTGACTAAAATCACACTTTACAATTCTTAGGTAAACCTCAAGTAGATTCACCTATCTAGTATCCCACCAGGGACAAACCTTAACAGTAAGGCATTGCATCACCTTGTCATTTATAACTTTGTCATTGTCCCTTTCTTTCTTTACTTTAGGCTCAATTCACCACATTTAGTGACACAATAACTTGGCACAGTTAGACAAGCTACTTTACTACAGTTAGGCAGACCTATAAGTGTATCTATAATGAGGAAAAACTTACCTTGCCACAGTTAGGCAGACCTATTTCTATAGGTACGAAAACTTACCTTGACACAGTTAGGCAGACTTACCTTGCCAAAATTAGGCAAAACTTTGTTTGCCATTATTTCTTCCTTGCGTCGCCAGCTGTCCATATCCTGCTGGTTGACAACAGGCTGAATAGGAGCTTTGGGTTTTACTACCGCTCTCCATTTTGATGAATCAAACTTTTCTAAAGACAAAAATGAGAAAAAAAATCTTATTTAAACAATCAACTTTACATCATCAAATCACAGAATTCACTAGTAGTTTAAATCTTTAGTGTATCTCAGACTTTAAAAAGCTGAAAGTAGTTGTTCTGAATTAGAATTGTACTTATTTTCCCACACTCACAAGGAATTAATCTAAACAACACTTTTGCGTTTGTATTCATTTGATAATATTTAAAATTTCACAGACAAAAGTTCAAAGGTGGTGGCTTTTCAATTTCATAAGAGATGACATACATTTTTCTGTTGAACTACTAAAAAAGCATTCGTTTTGGAAAAAAATGTTGAACAATGGATTACCTATTAGCTCCACCCAGTCAGGTGTCAATCTCACTATTAGCTCCACCCACTTAGGTGTCAATCTCACTATTAGCTCCACCCAGTTAGGTGTCAATCTCACTATTTACATAGCTCCACCCACTTAAGTGTCAATCTCACTATTAGCTCTACCCAGTTAGGTGTCAATCTCACTATTTACTTAGCTCCACCCACTTAGGTGTCAATCTCACTATTAACTCCACCCAGTTAGGTGTCAATCTCACCTTTAGCTCCACCCACTTAGGTGTCAATCTCACTATTAGCTCTACCAAATCAGGTGTCAATCTCACTTTAGCTCCACCCAGTTAAGTGTCAATCTCACTATTAGCTCCACCCAGCTAGGTGTCAATCTCACTATTAGCTCCACCCACTTAGGTGTCAATCTCACTATTAGCTCCACCCAGCAGGTGTCAACCTCACTGTTAGCTCCACCCAGTCAGGTATATGTTCATGTTCATCTTTTAAATACCTATTTGTATATCTTCATCATCTGATACAAATATTTACTGGTAACTTTTTTAATACAAATAATTGCCCATGAAAAAATTTACCTAGTCCTGCCCAAACATTGTTTATTATTTGAGCAATTAGCTCTGCTGCTAGTCAAGTATACAATGGTATCACAAAGTCAAACATCTAGAAATTTATCCACATTTGTCAAGTTATAGCAAAACCATTTCAGCATTAGTACTTTATACAAAGCAGATCACACACTATCCTAAAGGAATGATCTGGCCAGCATGGTATTACCAAACAATAATATCATTATCACTTCATTAACCATAGCAGCGGGAAAACAATTATCACAGGATAACACTATTTCTCATTTTAAAGATGGATTCTAGCAATTTTTCAGAAACGTTTCACTACCATAAACATGTAAAACATTATGATTACTTTTCCCCTATTAGAGAAGTTCTCAAATTTACAAAAATACCACTGGCAGTGAAACAAAGTTCTAATGATATGTTTAAAATGATAGGTTAAGGCCCCAAAGTAAGTCTCAGGTTAAGGCCCCACAGTAAGTCTCAGGTTAAGGGCCCACAGTAAGTCTCAGGTTAAGGCCCCACAGTAAGTCTCAGGTTAAGGCCCCACAGTAAGTCTCATATTGTAACCATTACCCTTCATGCTCTTTATTGGATTATCAGAAAAGGTTATAAATAAGGATGTGCATATTTGTATAGACTGTTTGTTTTAAAACGAGGTAAAATTCAATAAATAAATAGGTAAAACTGATGGATTATGCTCCTGAAAAAGGTCACAGAAACGACTGGGATAAAGTGTGTGGGTGTGGGCATGCATATTTCTTACTGGATGTTATATGTGCATAAGTAAAATAAATAGATATGGTGATATACATGTACACTTAAACATTTCTTACACAACCTCTTATCTACTTCAAGTCAGAAGTTACCGCCAGACAATGAATTTGACCTCTGACCTCAATGTGACCTTGACTTTGGGCATACGGAATCAAAAGTGGTATGTAACACACACCATATCCGACCTACTTATATTCCTAGAATTTTATTGACCTTTCTTCTGTGAGGCAGAAGTTAAATCCTGGAGTTTGACCTTTGACTTCAATGTGGCCTTGACCTTGGGTGTATGGACCCAATAGTGGTACTCAGCAAACCTCCTTGCCATCCTACATATATGTATACATCCCTGAAATGTTATTGAGCCATCTTCAGCAAGTCAGAAATTATGGTCCTGATTATGAATTTGACCTTTGACCTCAATGTAACCTTTACCTTGAGCAAACAGACACAAAATGTAATATGTGACACACTGCCCTGCTATCCTACCTATACCCTAAAATTTCCTTAAGCTATCTTTAGTGAGTCAGAAGTTATGGCCAGGATAATGAATCTGACCTTTGACCTCATCGTGGCCTTAGGTGTAAGGACCGAATAGTGTTGCGACAAACCACTTTGCCGTTCTACATAAATCCCTAAAATTTTCTCAGTTATCTTTAGTGAGTAAGAAGTTATTGGCTGGAAAATGGTATCGGATGGACGAGTCGACAGACTGAAAAAGCGGCGACTATATGCTGCCCAATTTTGTTTTAGGGCTGCATCGAAACCCTTGCATTTTAAAGTAGATTTGGTTTGTTTGGTATGGTAAGGGTTTTGGGATCTTGCAACAGCTAGGGTCTCACAGCGTCAAAGGATGATGACGCCACTCCACGGCCAAATCAAAGTGCTTGAATGTCAAAACCAGGACACAGTGGCATGACTTTCCACCTTGTCACACTGTACTAACAAAGAGCTAACCAGTGCCTACTGCCACCCAGGTAAAGCAGAACACAAGAAAAGGGCAGTACCCATCCTATATACAACACAAGGACTGTGTGTGTCACTGCTTACAGGACACTGAAATGGGCAGTACACATCCTATATACAACACAAGGACTGTGTGTGTCACAGCTTACAGGACACTGAAATGGGCAGTACCCATCCTATATACAACACAAGGACTGTGTGTGTCACAGCTTACAGGACACTGAAATGGGCAGTACCCACCCTATATACAATACAAGGACTGTGTGTGTCACTGCTTACAGGACACTGAAATGGGCAGTACCCACCCTATATACAACACAAGGACTGTGTGTGTCACTGCTTACAGGACACTGAAATGGGATTTATAAACACAGCAAAAAGGATTCAGATTGCTTAATAATACTGGTCATATGTATCTCAATACCATGATAGGAGACAGAAATAATACATTTGCAAGGGAAGCATATAGTTTTCTAGATGTACTATAAATGTTATATATAGGAGGAAAAGAGTCCCAAAACTCTTGGTGGCTGGCTATAATGTTTGTCTAACTCTCATTAACTTCAAATTGTAAACAACATTCAGCAACTCTAGCATCTCTATACAATTTGACAGGAGGCTCAATATGCCTGCATATTTCACCAGGAATTCATCTCACATTTGTAACCTTAAAGTGGACTACTACTTTGACTTCATCGTGACCTTAGGTGTATGGACCAAATAGTGTTTTGAGAAACCACATTGTCATTCTACATAAATACAAGAGGCCCAATAGGCCTGCATCACTCACCTGGTATTAATCCGACACTTATAACCTTAAAAGTGATCTAAAATAAAGCTTAAGGCAAAATATCAGTATCTATGGCTCTAAGTAATTCAAAGAACCTGTTCAAAGATGGACACATTTGACCCAAGTGACCTTGAAAGTATAACAAGGTCATTAAGTCACAATATAGCCCTTTATCCAAGCAAGCTTCTTTCAAATATCCACACCCTAGACAGTTCATTTATTGAGAAAGGTCATTAAAAGCTTTATACACATTGGACCATATGACCTTTACAGTGGGTCAAGGTCATTCACATAAACAAACTTGATAGCTTTTCATCTAAACATGCTACTGACCAAATATGTAATTATACTCATTTATTCTCATACTTGACCTTTGTATAAAATTTGATCAAAAGTCCATAAAATGAGTTGCTTGGGTGATGTCAGTTTGCAATTTAATTAGTTAACAAATTTCTATAAATAGAAATCTTGACCATTGCTTTGACCTTGGAACCCTAAAACATGAACTCAATCAAGGTATTCTTGAACTTGACAGGATGGGAGGTAACAGAATGCAACAGACATGAATAATGTACACTATGGTCCCTCACGGTCAGGCAGGGCATGCAAATACTGCTACTGTTTAACTATATTAACAATTGTTTTAAGCAATTACAGGTCAGCTCTCAAGTTGGATCAACAAATTCAGTATTATGACTAAGAGTCAAAAAGAAAAAGATGAAATTTGAATTTGTTATGAATTTACCGTCAGCTCCTTTTCAAGCATGTCAAATGAGTTCAGCATGATCAAATGTACAAGAAAGCTAAGATTCACTATCTTTTAAAAAATATATCTGAGTATTCAATTAACGGCCCAAAACATTTCCAAAGAGGACATTTTGGATTTGTTGTACTAATGTTCAAAGTTCTAGGGCTCCACTTCAAACTAACATATCTTCTCTATTCCCTTCGAACAAGTCATGACCAAATCAAAAGCTATTTGAATGGTTTCAGGTATGAATTTTAATCACATAGACTGATACCTGTCCTTTAAACATTCAGAAGGGCAATACCTAACTTCAAAGCTGGTAAATTTCACCATTTTATCACTATGGGTTCTTTTGATTTATATCTAGTATCACCTGCAAGGTGGTGCATCATTGCTTTCAAATTTGTCAGGATATATTCCAAGCAGTTGGAGAAGATATGTGTATTAAGAGCAAAACCCTTAAATTTCGAAAGATTCGTAAGATATAGAAATATCATCACAATCATAGTCTTAGATAACACTGTAACAAAGTCTAAATCAAATGAATAATATTTTCATATGCCCAACAATATGAACATGTGACCGACCATTTGATCATGTGACCAACCATTTGATCATGTGACCAACCATGTGACCAAATATTTGATCATGTGACCAACCATCTGATCATGTGACTAACCATTTGATCATGTGACCAACCATTTGATCATGTGACCAACCATTTGATCATGTGACCGACCATTTGATCATTCATTTGATCACATGACCGACCATTTGATCATGTGATCAACCATTTGAGCATGTGACGAATCATTTGATCATGTGATCAACAATTTGATCATCTGTCATCGACTTGGTCATGTGACAAGCAGTTTTGTCGGGTTAAAAAGCTTTAAGATGCTGCATCTACATCATCTAAGAATGTAAGCCCACACACAAAAACACACAGGTACAAATAATACAGATTGTATTTTCTAAAACTGAAACCCGGAAAAGGAACCTATATGATAAGGACCCTCAAAACATAATTATCTGTTAATTCCTATGTCTCTTTAAATGTCATTTTTGGAAATTAGCTTCTCAAATTGGCCATGGTTGATATTTTCCTATGGTACAAAATATCATGTGTCAAAATTAATCATGATTGAATTTGTAGTCAGATGAGCCCACAATTTTCCAGATAAATTTTAATCAACGTTATTTTATCAAATCAGTGTTTTGATTATGGAATCACTTTGTCTGAATTTTTTTTCTAATTAACATATCAAACTAATTAAATGTAACGAATATAAATTAACTGATAAAAGTAAAAATGTCAATGAAGGTACATAGTTTAAAACTTGTAAACTGATATGTCGTAAGTTTCATTGAAATCTACGCAGTACATCACCATAAGTAGTCTAAACAACCTTGTGTCTAGACAGACACCCGGACCCTGTGCAACCTCCTATAAACCCCATATAACTGTGATGTTAGTAGTTCTGGGTTCCGTTATTATACATTCTCCTTTTCACATATTACAAAACGAAATGATAAGTAACAACCAACAAAAATAATATACATAAATCAGTCTTGTTTTCATAGAAGTGTATTGCTTCAATCAGAGGAGGAAAGATGTTGGTTTTTATTTTTATCTCAAATCCAACTTTCTATTGATAAGCAAGGAAAATATTGCAAGTAATCTAAATAGCAAATAGTACCCTGATTTCAGCATATAGCATGCCACCTTCCCAAAAGGAACTCTCCTACATACTATTGCAATTGCAGGCGACAGACAGAATATATGAGGTATTCCTGTGTAAAAATGACACATGGTGAACAAAGGGCCATAACTCTATAAATGACAGGCACTCAATCCAATTTCAGGACTACATGACACTTTGCCACGACAAGAGTACATACAAAATTTAAGGTGACTATCGGTAAGTATATGACGAACACCCAGGACAAAGTGATGCACCAACTGACAGCGTATATAGTACACTGTACATGGGGGCTAATACATCATTATCAGGAAAATGATGAAACTGCTCTGAGGAATGTGAAAAATGTTCATTATATTACAGATCAACATTTCTTTTGGTAAGAACTTCTCAAATCAACGTTTATTTTATAAATAAATTTGTATACAAAAACTGCAGAGTGTTGATCTCTGGAAAATGCAATCAAAATCATTGAAAGTGAAACATTACAAACAATCTATGTTCAACGAGATTTAATTAAGTAAACAAAATATGGGGAAAATCAAACAGAGAGATTGTAATAATTTCTGAACTAAGTAGCCGTCACCCCTTTACCACATACAATCCTTATACAAAACAGGACTGTGCATCAACGAAGAAAATGTACAATGTTTTGAACATTGTTGCAGCATCTACCATTTGAGTGTGCAACATCTCAAATAGACATTTACCCACCTGCCTTTAGTATACCTGTTTGGATGCTGCTAATGTTGTGTATATAGTGCTTATTAACTGTATATAGCTAGTCCGTGGAGCATGCTATGAACTCGCTGTTTACATTATCACCAGTTGCTCTCTCAAATTATCTAGGTCGTGTAAATAAGTTACTACTTCAGACACTGGAGCTGGAGGTTCTCCTATGTAGGAGGGATCTGAAGGATACAGATACAGAATGGCACTTTTTGTAGAATTTTACAGTGATGGAGTATTCTGTTTTAAACTTGATTTTTTCTTATCAATAGGTCGGACAGAAACTGAATCTAGGACCCTATAACCAAGACGGACACCCTACCAACTGAGCTATATGGTCACCATGGTCATATTTTGCTATGAACTCACTCCCGTACTATTCAGGTTTTCAATGTAAATGTGCATTTTAAATAAAAATCTGTAAATCAAAGATACCAACATTGCAATTTTACCCACATTAATACTTCTAACCTCACAAAGATTCAAATTATAGTTAATTCTAGACAGTTTCCATCCTTCAAATGAGAACAATATTGTTTCGCATGAAAACCTGACAATGTTTTTTTTTTAAATGTCCATAATTATTATCAAATGTTATGCATAAGAGCAGAAATTAACATTATTAAGTTCAATCTGATTAAAATCATCTGTTACATGTCTCCGTCTGAACATCTGAATGTGCCGCGGTCAGGGTCACGGTCAAGTGACCTTTAGATGAACCAATCAGAGGCGCGCTGGCAAAAGTTTGCCAGCGAATCGGAATATCATGGTTGATAGATAAATAGCGAGGGGTATCGAACAGATTAGTTTTCCAAAACAAATATGGCGGCGGGAACTGACGTTTCTACGACGCCAAGGAAAACGTACCCATTGGGTAATAATTGTGTAGGCAACACGCCATACAGTCTTTCTTCTCTAAAAAAGCTTGGAATATCTTTTTCTGTTCAGGTTTCAGACGATCAATCTCAAATAACTTCAGAACTTCCGCATCATTCTCATCAATGTCCGCCATATTTGTTACAACTCTGAGCGCCCTTTTGAAATTGGACAAAATTTAATGAGTATTTATAAATATAAAGGTCACCTGAACGTGACCCTGACCGCGGCACACTCAGATGTTCAGGCGTAGTACGAAGTTAACGAAGCCATGTAACATATGATTTTAATCAGATTGTATTTAGTTCCAATAACATCAAATAATCAAATAAATTCTCAAATTTGTATTTGAAATTTTTTCGGGGCTGTTGCAAAAAGCGAATTTATTTTCATTCATATGAAGATGATGTGATCATCTTGATTCTAAAATGAGTTTTTTTAAGCATTAAATATGAATCATATAAATGCAGTGTTTTCTCCAGGCTTGAACTAAAATGGGGGACATTGGTAGTGTGAAATAGGCAGAATANGGGGGGGGGGGGGGGGGGGGGATGTAAGCAATCTCCTTTCTGGAGAAAACACTGTACATGTATCAGGGGTTCAAATCTGATTCAATAGTAAATAAAATTATTGTATGAAATACAATCTGTTCCGAGTTGCCAACTTGAAAGTCATATTTTCAAAGTCATATTTTCAAACCTAATGACTTTTGTACGGGGATTTTTTTTGTCATGAATTAAGTAACTTGAATCATGGTGGTTATAAATGGTTCAAAATGTTCACAAAAACTTACCATTTTGTTTATGTTGGACGTTAACTGACAGAGAATCAAACATAAGACATTACCTTGTTATCTCCCTTTACTGACGTACACAAATTTATATGTCAATAATTCTTAGTGCTGAACCTTTTACTTTAAATGTTAGAAATTTTCATGATATGGACATTTTTTGGAAATTTTGCTAGCGTTTCATAAATTACATTAGTGTGAATATACCATTAGTATATGAATACACTAAAAACATCAATAAAAAATTCCGTCTTTGCATATTGCAGAGTTATCTTTTCTTGGGAGCAGGTATTGATTGTTACGTCACTTGTTTGTGAGAGAAACGTCATCAATTTTTGAGAAAACGACGTAATTTTCTCACACATACCAATGACGTAACAATCAATACCTGATCCCAAGAGAAGATAACTCTGCAATACGCAAAGACGGAATATACAACGCCTCAGCATTTTAACATGAATATTTATAATTTGCAAATTAATGGTTTAAAAATTCAAACATGAACGTTCCTAATGTTACAGTAAAAGATATATGAAACTATTTCAATGACGCATGTATCAATGGAAAGTGTACAGTATCTTCATTTATTCAAATTTTCAATCATCAAAGAATATTTAGATGTATTACCTGCGTATAGGGGCAGGTAAAATTCAGACGACTGCTTGTTATTAAGGCCAACTCTGAGAATTATTCTTAAATCTTTCAAAAAAAAAAATGCTTTCTAGAAATTAACTTGAGTATGGCATCAATATTCTAGATTTTAAAAAATCACATTGTAGAGATGTTGTGAAATTTACTTTTCAGGGAAAAACGAGAGCTTGAAGAAATGATCTTACAGTATTAATGAGGAATACATACCTGCTGTTGGTCTTAGTTCAGTGAGTTCTTCCATCAGCTGTGCAGTTGTAATTTCCAAAGTCAGTATCTTCTGCTTCAGTTTGAATACTTTATCACTTTCTTGGGGCGGTGGATTAACCAGCAGTTGTTCTATCATCTCCACACCCAAAGTTCTGAGATTCTGTTTAGCATTTCTACCGACACAGCGTCCATTCTCACAGGGAATTTCTGGAGATAAAAGAAGTTTTTTTTTTTTTTTTTTTTTTTTTAAATTTACGACATTCCTAGGTTATACGTATATTTCTCATTTGTGTCGGTGTAGAATACTACAAAAAGGTAGACAGGAAACATCTCAACTAATTTTCTTGTTCCGTTGGACTTTCTCTGTTTGGAGAGTTTTATGAAATTTTCAGTAAATTCTTTACCTTATATATTCTGCCATTAGCCCAGACTCTGTGGTCCAGCACATAATGCATGACTCTAAGTGGGGCATTTCTTAGATGACAATGAGATAACATTAGTTGGCATTTCTTACAGGACAATGAGATAACATTAGTTGGCATTTCTTACAGGACAATGAGATAACATTAGTTGGCATTTCTTACAGGACAATGAGATAACATTAGTTGGCATTTCTTACAGGACAATGAGATAACATTAGTTGGCATTTCTTACAGGACAATGAGATAACATTAGTTGGCATTTCTTACAGGACAATGAGATAACATTAGTTGGCATTTCTTACAGGACAATGAGATAACATTAGTTGGCATTTCTTACAGGACAATGAGATAACATTAGTTGGCATTTCTTACAGGACAATGAGATAACATTAGTTGGCATTTCTTACAGGACAATGAGATAACATTAGTTGGCATTTCTTACAGGACAATGAGATAACATTAGTTGGCATTTCTACTCAACTGCAATAAATATGGGTGGGCTTATTACCAGATAAATATGGTATGTCTAAATCTGGATACAAGAATATCATACTTGCCAACTCTCCCCATTTAGGAGCCAACTCTTCCTATTTAGGAACCAACTCTCCCTATTTAGGAGTCAACTCTCCCTATTAAGTAGGGAAACTCCCTATTTTTGACCCTGAAATTGAGCATTTTCAACCAGTTAATTTGCTAAACTATTCAGATTTTCTAAGGTCTGATAATTTCACCATACAAATCCTACAAAAATCCTTGAACACTGAAATACATAGCCAGGGATCAATCTAGGTTTTAGGGGAATCTACCTTTTTTCAGATTTGGGGGAAATTGAAATGTTGATACAAGGCTCCAGCGTCATAAAGGTAAAAGATAAATGTTTTGTCTAACATGTACACGTGTGTAGTATATTTCAATTTATAAACAATTTTAAGCTTAAAATTCAGCATTGTAACTGTTGAGTTTTAAAGAAAACATTTAGGGGAAATATTTGGAAGAAAAAATGCTTTTTTCATGTTGAAAGACAGGAATTTTGAAGCACATAGGGGGAATTTCAAAGAACAGGGGAATTTTCTTCTGTAGGGAAACTTCCCATTAATGGTAGTGAATCAAGTCTAGATTGATCTCTGATAACAATATACTTAGCCCAGGCCTAAAAACGTACTGTACATGCTGACACCGGTGATTTTACAGTCAGATTCCACCTGACAGACCTTTTCCTCAAAGGACATATCATCCAAATCCACCAACTTTATCCACTGATCGACTAATACAAAGTCGCGGGCCCTGACTTCTCCCAAACCAAGACTCCCGAGGGGGCTGTTCTCCATGTACTTCAGCAGATCTGCCAGCTGTATGGCATACTGTGAAACAAAAAAGTTGAATTTCTCAATACATGTATAGATTTCACTTCAGCCTTAAAGTACCAGTTTCTGATCAGCCCCGTCTACAGTATTCTAATTATAAAAGCTGTTATATGTCTTTAGAGATTTTTTGAAACAATCTACTACTGCATATAACCTGGTTGAGTATAACCCTTCTTGAACATCTTTGGTTGTGTGCTCCATCTTTCTAATTTTTCATTCTGTAATGTGTAACACCGCTGTTGTACTGGTAAAGCCTCGGCCATTACCCTGTAGTTCGTCTTATAAGATCATGATGCAATTTTTGCTTAAACAAGCATCATCTTTCTTCTACTTACAGACTCAGGAGTTTTTAACCATTGTCCTGTGAGCAACATATAAACTCAAATAGATTTCTACAGAATCAGCTAGCTGATTTTTATTACACTTATGAGGTCATGTATCAGATGCAAGTCTTATTTAAAAGTCTGGAAAGCATTCGTGGCTCAAATTACGAACATGTGACAGGGGTTTAATATTAATGTATGCTTACAACCTAACATATGTTAATTTCACACAAACCCTAATATTAGATATTTAAATCTCATCGATAAAACTGAAATGATAACTAATAATCACATTTGCCTGCATACAAAATTTAATGCTTTCTCTTAACTATTACAGGAACTCAATATATTTTTCTGCCTTTTATATTCTAGGTTATTATACTTATATCATTACCACAATACTTCAATGGCTACTATGATCTTAGTAAAATGATGACTCTGGCGTCTTGAATTGGACATGTTTTTCCTCATACAACAGAAATTGTGTTTTAATTTCTAACAGCAGCAGAGACATGAAATTCTATTCATCCCACTTTCCTGTTAATTTCTCCATCAATAAATTTTAAGAAATATATTATTTGGAAAGGTTGCATTGTTTAATGTTCTCCTGTTAATTGTTCAATGTTTCAGCTGCTAATGTTCTGCAGCAGCGTTGCTTTTGTTAAATACACAAGTGTACTATGTATGTACACTGCCATTTTGGAGGTAGAAACTTCATTCACAAACCCAACAACCAGACGACTTCTAGAAATGGTAAAATCTGGAATAGGAACATTTTTGAATTTTATGATAAATCAACTAATATCTCGACACACTCTGAGGGCTGCAATTCACCCTTTATCAGAGCAATGAGCAATTCTGTTACTTTATCATTTGAAGTGGTCTTTGTGGCCTTACATTGTGACACTTACATACCCTGTACTGTACCTCTGCTACATATGACACTTACATACCCTGTACTGTTCCTCGGCTACATATGACACTTACCATACCCTGTACATTTACCTCTGCTACATATGACACTTACTATACCCTGTACTGTACCTCTGCTACATATGATACTTACATACCCTGTACTGTACTTCTGCTCCATATGACACTTACATACCCTGTACTGTACGTACCTATGCTACATATGACACTTACATACCCTGTACTGTACCTCTGCTACATATGATACTTACTAAGATTTTGGACTTCCAGCTGTATGATGCCAGGTTTCCAATGTTCACTGCCATCCCAGGCTCCGTGATCAGAACTACACCCTTCTTTTTGATGTTGTAGTTGATGCTATCTCCCCTTATACAGTAACCTTGAACCTTGATGATGGTAGGATGTTTAAGTACTGTTAAAGCCACAATTTCTCTCAACAAATTATAGTTTCCCATCACTTGGCATTTGTCAACATCATATTTTGACTGCATACACTTGATCTTGCTATCCATATCGATTGCCTGGCTTTTCATGATGACCTCAGACCCTCTTTTATCAATGTATGCCCGATCAACATATTTACGACGGGTAATCTTCACTGACTGTGACACTCGAAGATAATCAATATCTTTGCAAGTCATTTGACTGTATATCTCTAAGTCCAAAAGGATAGTTTTAACTTGTAATGCCATTTCTATTGCTTCTGGAGCTTTTCCCAAATCAGATGGATTCAAATCTTTCAGTATACTGAGCAACTCTGATTTTAGTGTCCTGTCAATGGACGATGTGTTGCCACTATTGACAGCATCTTTGTTACTCATAATGTCAGCTGGTTCTCGTGCAACCAATTGTAACTTATTACTCAATGCGTTGTCTTGGACATTTTGATCATTGAAATCTGAGCGTGCAACGAAACCTGCACCAGGATTTTTAATGTTCTGTTGTTGATCTTGATCAAATTCTTTCAAAAATACATCTTGAGGATTGTAAAATTTTGGATTTGATTTTTTGTATGAAGTTTGATCATGTCTCATATTACCAATTTGTCTGTATGTCAGAAATACTCCAATTAGCGTACAGACAACCAAGAACACTGTCCACCCAGTACGATATCTCATTCGACAACGCATCCTTGTGCAAGTGCTAAAACAAGTTAGTTTCCTAATCATTAAGAATTATTTCACAAAACTACTTCCATTAAACAAACCACACATCATCAATATACATGTTGGTCGTAATCAACATCTGCACTTCATTTTGCTGAGGTAAGGAAAACCTGAAACAAAACATGAGAAGAATATTAAATGCATTTTCTGATCATCTCAAATTACGGAATAAATGGCCTCATTCGGTAGCTAACATCTTACCTAACCTGTAAGTCAACTGACTCATTAAACATACATTGATCGCACGGTCGAGCAAACACGATCCCGTCGACCTAGACCAGCAGTCATATCATCTACCTGCCTGGGTACGTAAACTGGGCATGAACGAATAACTTGACAGTTGCAGAAGCAATCATATTCAAATACTAAGAGTAATGCAATGTTGCAATTCAATAAGCTGACATTTTTGTTTAAAGTCACACTAATCTTCGAATTTACCTGAGAATATTGTTTATAACAAAACTTCCTTTAGTTTAAACCGGAAGTGTACAACCTGAAATACCTTTCCGCGGTAAATAAATAAATCGTTAAGTTAAGCTTTCTATCAATGTTCCTAGATACTATTTTAATTATAACTGATTTTTTGACAAGAAAATCAGTTATCGTTTTATTAAATAAACACATTTCAAAGATAATCTGCCGAAAATCTTTAATATTTCATTTCCGGTTGAAAATCAACACATGAGAACGCAAAATGAATGCCCCTCCAACATTCGAATCATTTCTACTCTTTGATGGGGAAAAGAAGTAAGAATAATCTCTTCTGTATAGTGGTCACAAAAAGATTCGCGACTGAATTGACGGTTTTATCTTATGACTTGCAAAATTCATCATGATAATTGATTTCGAAGTGTTGACAATTTATTTTGCATGAGAAGCTGACAATGCAAGAAGAAATTATTTAGTTTTATTTAAGAGTCCCAGTACAGATGCTTGACACACTAATAGTAACATGATGTGTATATACTGTATACTAGTCTTTCACGTTATTTCAAAATATCCATGTGTAAGTGAAATAGTGGATTCTCAAAATATTGGTGAGACCCACAGGAAAAGTTACATCTGGACTCCAATCATTCGGGTCACAAAAATCAGTTCATTGTTAGTATGAGAAACCAGGAGTAGAGAGTCAACACACTCATGGCATCTGCCTCCAGTATGTAAAAATATGAAATAGTCTTCCCAATCCTTCTTTGTTGACAAAGTGAAACACTTTAAAAAGTTCAGAAAGGGTATATATGGGGCTAATGGGATGTTTTTGAATATTTTGGGAAAATATGGCATTTTTTATCTAGTGGAAATGGCCTGTATTCAATTCAAGGACAGCAGCACTACAAGTTCTCCAACAGACAGTGTTAGAGGTTTACACGGCGAGATAATTTTGACAGTTTCCGTGTAACGTCGCAGCGACCTCTTATGTTATAGGAGTACACTACGAGGAGTTGCTCTCTGCGTTCAGAATGATCATCATAAGGCAAAATTGCAGTAGCTATATAGGATGCAAAGGTTTATCATAAATGCCAAAAATATACATGTGCAGTTATGCAAAATTAACATTCATACAACAAGTCTATCAAATATGTACTTAAAATCCATTTGTCAGTTACAGACACAGATCTATAGACAAGAACAATCATCTAATTAACCAGGTTTTTAGGTCACCTGAGCTTTAGCTCAAGTTCTACTGGGCCGCTTAAACTGAAACTTAACAGGAATAATCGACTCATAGTCTTGACAAAGTGTTGTTCTTTTTTGGGTTGATCAGAAATCCAATATGGCTGCCACGGCCGCCATTTTGAAAAACTATTTCAAACTTAAAGTCAAGTTTTACTGGGTCGATTGAACTGAAACTTAATAGGAATGATCGACTGATCATGGTCCTGACAAAGTGTTGTTCTTTTTTAGGTCGTTCAGAAATCCAATATGGCCACCACGGCCGCCATTTAAAAAAAAATATATCAAACTTAAAGTCAAGTTCTGTTGGGCCAGTTGAACTAAAACTTGGTAGGAATGATCGACTCATGGTCCTGACAAAGTGTTGTTATTTTTCGGGTCAATCAGAAATCCAATTTGGCTGCCATGGCTGCTATTTTGAAAATAACTATTTCAAACTTAAAAACAAGTTCTAATAGGCCGATTGAACTGAAACTCGGTATAGGAATAATCAGCTCATGGTCCTGACTAACTTAAGTTAACGTTATACTTAACTATTTTTTACTCAAATTAGTACATATTTCAACAACAAAAATACATACTGTAGGACTCAGGTGACCATTAAGGCCCATGGGCCTCTTGTTTTTTACCTGAATTTTACAACAGCCTGTTCTTTTATGAAATGGGAAAATAAAGCATTGTTAATTTTATTGATATTGGGAATACATTCCCCATTTTTGGTCATTTTGGGATAATAAGACACTTTATATTAGGGGGAATATCCTGTTCACTTATCATACTTGCCAACTATCCCTATTTAGGAGGGAGACTCCTAATTTTGGACCCTTAAACTAAGTTTATTCCTAAGATCTGATGATTTCACCTGAAAGAACAATTGAAAAAATGTCATTTTAAAGGGTTATTTTGTCTCTAGCAGCAAGTACATATACACATTCTGTTTATGTATTAATTTTGAGCCAGGAGAATTCCCTATGGAAATTTCATAAGTTAGCAAGTATGAATTATATGCCAGGAGCGCAGTATTCAAGGCATGGCCAAGTCTAGTGTACAAGTTAATGAAATATTTTCTATGAAAAAGTATTCTATCATGTCTTATTTTTGTCTCATCGCCACGAATTAGCGGAAGCGAGACTAAGGTATTGCTTTTCCAGTGGCGTCAACATGAAGTTTTTGCGTTTAAGTTAGTTTCATTGAAAGTATAAGTGCTCGACCAACCAAACTTGGACCATACATGCATCTTATAAGGTAGTACATCTCAGCCCATGTATCAAATGATGGATGTGCCCTACCTTTCATTGTCTATTGACTTTGTCAGCATCTCCATCAAGATTAAGATTTGCGTTTAAGTTAGTTTCATTTCAAATGTCGTCTTTATTGATTTTTTTTCACCTATATGTGCATTGATGGTCAAAGCGGGGCACAGGCGAGACATATCAATCCGAATGGCTTGTTTATGATATATATATATTTGCTATAAAATGTTCCTCAAAACTTATCTTTTCCATATTTTGCCACAGATTTCAAATTCCTATGTCATTGTTAAAGGGGCTGGTCGGGGAAAAAAATACAAAATAAATGGGTCTAAATGCGTTCTCTGGCCTTCCAAAAGTTATACCACGGCAATATGATGGTCGAGTTCTGCTTGCAATGTCCTGTTTTGACCACTGAAATCTCGGGGAAGCCCTGCGTAAATGTAGCGCAGATCTATTTATATATGTCACGCAGTTGTTTCGAAAGTGAAGCAGTGAAGATAACAACAATAGCATGCCGTCATTTGCCATATCGGACTCAACTAGGGGACAAGACAGCAATACTATACATAAATAATTGTTTTCAAAGGTCATGTATGAAGCAAGTGTAGTATTCCTACCTATATGTTGTTGTTATATATAACGGTATTGATACCTCGTGCCTGTCATGACTTTTGCATGCATCTTTTTCTTTCGTCGCAATGTTTACATTTGGCCTTGTTGATGATGCGTGTGCGGTAAAATTACATCACTGACCTGGGTCAATTGAGAGTTTTAGACTGTCAGGTGACGATTTAGGATTTCTTTATTATAATTATAAATATTACTCTTAGGGAGTGAATTTCAGCAAAATTTGTATCAGTATATTTCATAAGAAGGTATTTTAAACATGTGTATGCCATTTTAGCAAATATGACATTTTCCCCCCGACCAGCCCCTTAAATGATAGTATGCTATTATTTTTTTTACAAATTTGACTCTTTGTATTTTTCAGAATCAATATTGAAAAAGACACGAAGGTCCCAAATGCAGCTCTATTTACAGTAAACAAAGAAGATCACACACTGGGAAACATGATTACTGCGTAAGATATATACAAACAACTGTTTATTGATTTGGTTTCCCCATGTGCAGTGAAACGTCTAGATTTTAAAAACGTCTGACTTTCACAACATCCTTTATACTAAATAGTAAATATGATATATATGGCACAAAAAGACTTCTTTACTTATTAAAGGCAGATTTTTCTGTATTGTTTATTGTCATGAATTTGGTGTGTGTTGTCTCTCACCGTCACAACAGGTAGTAGGGAACTGCTCTCAGGTCCCAAAATCTATCAGAATGCGGAGGAAAATCACTCACGTGAATCAATTTCATGAGTCAACATGATTAAAAAAACAGCAACAAACACTATTCTGTTGTCAAAAATAACTAGAAAATACCAAGTTGTCAATTTAAACTGTAATTCAAACTAAAAATCAGTAAAACTAGGGCAAAATAAAAACAAAGGAAAAATTAACCCTTAAAAAAGTACCAGAAGAATAAGACCAGGAGTTCCAGAAGGGTAAGTCTCTTTTGCTTCAGAGACATGTAAATCTAGGTGAAATCAAGGTAATGTCATATCCTCAAAGTGACAACTGGGGCAGTGATACCAAAACAACAAGTCACACTAATGAGCAAAAACATCAATCTACATGTCACACAAGGAAATAATAAATATAATTTCGACCATCGACGTTCCCATAGTCTTCATCATCTCACATAACCCTGTGTTGCAGATTTTCTGTCAGCAGTTGATAAATGTCAAAGAAATCCTGAGAAAACTCTTGAAGTTCATGATTTTCATCTTTGAGCATAAAAGCATCCTGTTGCAAAAGGAAATTGTTCCAATTTTGTGTATCTGGTATTTAATTTCTTCATTACTGTACATTATAGATCATTCAAATATTAAGGTGGGCTTTTGGTTAGAAAGAATTACAAAAGCAAAGAATAGTTGTCTTATATTATATATCAAAATTCAAAGGTGACAAATTCTGCTACAGTTCTCATGAGCGAATACATAAAATTTACTGCTACATGTATCAGGGTGTCCGGTTAGTGGAATTGTACACCACTGCTGAAGTTTGAAACATGTATAACTTTGATGTGTTACAGTCAGCTACGTAAAGATCCTCAGGTCCTGTTTGCTGGCTATAAAAACCCTCACCCTTTGGAACACAAGTTTGTGGTGAGGATCCAGACGACAGCGGAGTATAGTCCACAGGAAGCCATTACAAACGCCATCACTGATCTCATCTCGGAATTTTCACTTCTTGAAGAACGCTTCAGGGTGAGTACCAGATATCGAATTATAATGATCTTAAAACTTGAATATTGCAAACTTGAATATTGCAAACTTGCATTGTTTACCTGGGTCTAAAATGGTTGTAGTTTAAACCTAGTTAAAAATCCTTCGCTCCAAATTTTTTTTGTCTCTCTAAAAACCAAAAAAACAAATCACCAAGATGTAACCGGAAAATACTCTTACAGCCCTAATGTTTTTCATACTATCTCATATCCACCCCAGGATCCCTACCGCCACTATGGAACTGACTTCCTTGCAGGGACGTCTCCACCCCCCGGTTGTTATTTCATAATCTGTTTTTAGTTTGTTTTGTTGATGTTCAAATGCCTGAATTATATATTTTACTGGTATATATATATGTAAACCGTTAACCGATGGCCTTGTGACTGGAAACATTACCTATATATGTCCTTTCGTAACATTGTTATAAATAAGCTGGACCTGTGATAAACAATGTAGCTATTTCAGTTTCAATGTTTATCACATGTATAGCACATTCATCACACCTTAGTAAATGACACATCCTCTAAAGTTCATTTATCGATTCAAGTAACTTAGCCTTTGTTCTCTATATATATAATCTGCAAGGAGATTTTACTTCAGTTTTAGTAGTCTCACATGGCAACCTCTATCTTGATTTGAGGCTTGAATACCTTTCTACATTTCGTAAAAGTGAAATTAAGCCCCGCATGTCCTTGGTATGTCCATGGTAAATGAACTTTAAGTGATATGTATTGTATTTCAGTTGGATTGCTAAAGAGAATGACATGTTATATGTCTGGTGAACTATTTTTATGAAGACATCAGCATTGATGTCTTATTATTGACTTTTATAACCTTGCAATGGATCATTTTAATAACTTGTGTACATGTTTAATATATCAAAATGATATATATATATATATTAAGTTCCGATCTTTAATGTGAGTATTTGAATACATGTATAACATATCAGGGGGTAAAAATAATGAGTTATGCAACATATGAGATAAATTTGTACTTTTTCAGTGAAACATATTTAAATACATTTAAACTTGTATTTAAAATTAGTGATCTTTTAACACTTTTTCCATGACATTCATTACAGTGTATTTGATCTTCAGGAAAATAATTGTAAATATTGCATCACTGAGGCTACTTTTTATTGGGTTTTATTTCTGATGATGGGCTATTTTAATCACTGGAGGGATCTTTCTATAATTTCACATGAAGGTTTCCCATGGTCCCTTGTTATGCATTTCGTTTTTTGGGACTAATCACAAAACCAAGATGGTTGACAGCCAGCCATCTTGAATTTGAGAGTTCAAGTTTGTTAGCGCTTTTCTCAGAAAGCACTGTATGGATCTTTCTAAAAATTTCACATGAAGGTTTCCCATGGTCCCTAGTTACACATATCGTTTTTTAGGACTGATCACAAAATCAAGATGGCCGACAGCCAGCCATCTTGAATTTGAGAGTTCAAGTTTTTTAGCACTTTTTTTCAAAAGGGACTGGAGGGGTCTTTCTCAAATTTCACATGAAGGTTCCCCATGGTTCCTAGTTCCGAATTTTGAATTTTGGGGATGATTAGAAAACCAAGATGGCCGACTGCCAGCCATCTTGAATTTGAGAGTTCAAGTTTTTTAGCACTATTTCTCGGAATCTACTGGAGGAATCTTTCTCAAATTTGATATGTAGGTTCCTCTTGGTCCTTTGTTGTCCATGTAAACTTTTGAGGTTGATCAAAAGACTGATAAAGATGGTGGACAGGCAAACGAATAAAAAGATCGGAGAAAAGAAGAGAAAAGATCATACTAACATAGAACTAATGAAGATGGTACGATGGTTGGTGCCAAAACCCCTCTGGGTTCTCTTGTTTTCACATGTAATTTCATTGAAATGTATTTAATATTTCTGCAGTTAAAAATTTTCATCCCAATTTTTTTTTTTCACAATCCAAGAAATGACATCAAAACTTAAGTATGCTGAGTTTTCTTCCAAGTTTCATTTTATAAATGTACAGTATAACAGCACTTGAACTAAGTTAACCAAATACTCTTTAACTATTGTCAAACATCACATTAGTAACTACATAACTATTAAGTATGGAATGTTGGGACCGGCAAGGGTCGATAGGACTGAGAAAGTATAGCTACTTTTAAAATCAATTGAGTACCAAAATCACACTAGGCTTCTAGACTTTTTCTGGTCCATGGTCAATGGCAGAACAAATGGAACAGAAGCTAATTTGAGGGATATATTTCTAGGGCAAAGAAGTCAGAGGAAAAGATATACTATACAGTACTGTACATAAGAAATTGAAGCAGTATAGGCTATAAAAAGAAATCTAGATAATTTGATATTGTTGGAGTCAAGTGATGATAAGGAAACTGAAAGCACAATCCATTGAGCTTATGATCGTATGCCTATAAACCATTCCTATATTGTTAGATCTGTTCATTTCATCTGCAAGAAAAATTCAAATGGTTCCATTTTCGATTTTTTATTTCCCCTAGAGGGTATACACATTATTTATATTTTTTAATTTTGAGCACAAGGCATTTCCTTCATGGATACTTTGGTCAAAAACATTATTGAGGAAGAACGAAAATTTCTTAATTGAATGAGGTTGATTTGACCCCTGCAGTCCTAAGAAATGGTACAGCTAGATTATCATATTATATGGTGTAGTTTTCATAAATTGTTAAAAATTGATTTCTAGGTTTATAAAAGCTTATAGTTTAATGAAAATTAAAGTATTGTCTAATTACACCCTGTAATATGACGTATTACTTATTTCAAAATCTGTTAACATGGCAACTCAATGGAGGCACCTGATTAGTTGAAAGCCAGATCTTGTGGTCCCAGTTGGGTTAGAACATAGATCTTGTCTGGATTTGAGGAAACTTCATATAAAGATGTATAATGCATTCAGTTGTAATGACTTAAATATAAAACCAGGTGAGCGATACAGGTCCAGTGGACCTCTTGTTTATTTCCTCTAGAGGGTCTACACATTATTTATGTTTTTTAATTTTGATCACAAGGCATTTCCTCCATGCATACTTTCAAAGATTTACAAGTACGGATTTGGAAGCAGAGTTATATGTTACTCAAATAATTAAAAAAAGTTACTATCAAACAAAAATTAATTTAGAAATTCTCAACGCTGGTTTATGTGAAATACTGAGATTTAATTTGTACTTTTTCAGGAGGCTGTTCGAGAACTGAAGGAAGGAGAAATATGAAGATTCAAGACAATTTGTTTATAGAGAGAATGGAAGTCCAATAGAAAGACAGAATGTAAAGTAGACAGTTGGGATGGGTCAGAGTGAGAAAGAATGAAAAAAAGAAAGAAACAGCTCACATATTCATCTGTAAATATTTATCATTACATTATGAATCAAACTTGAATGATTTTGACTTGTTTTTGCCTAAATAAGCAGAAAAATGCCAAAGGAGCTAGTGTAATGTTGGGGCACAGCTTTTGTTGTCCGTCTATTTGTTGCTTAAATGTCCAACTGTTGTCCATCCATCTGTTGTCTGCCCGTGTCATGATGCTTTGGTCCCAGTTGGGTTAGAACATAGATCTTGTCTGGATTTGAGGAAATTTCAGATAAAGATGTACTAATGCATTCAGTTGTAATGACTTAAATATAAAACCAGGTGAGCGATACAGGTCCAATGGACTTCTTGTTTATTTCCCCTAGAGGGTCTACACATTATTTATGTTTTTTAATTTTGATCACAAGGCATTTCATTCATGGATACTTTCAAAGATTTACAAGTATGGATTTGGAAGCAGAGTTATATGTTACTCAAATAATTAAAAAAAAAATACTACCAAACAAAAATTAATTTAGAAATTCAAGGTAACAAAGCCCCTCATTCACTTAGCATGCAACTGACCAAATATGACCCTAGGTCTCTGTGCTTTATAGAAGACATTCTTTTAAGGTTTCAATCCATGTGAACTTGAAATTGGGTCAAGGTCAGTCATTTGAAGGAACTCCCTAGTACTTTTTTCCTGGAAGCCAATAGTCAAATATGAGGATATTTAGGTCTCTTGGGAATTCAAATGTTGTATTTTGCTCATGTGACACTGAATGTGGGTCAGGTCATTCATATGACCTGTAATAGTACCAAGGTAATAGTTAAATACCGTCTCTTATGTAGAAGTTTTGAGTCAAGTAGTATTTGACACCTCTTGCTTACTCTGAAGAATTTCAATGAAAAACATTTATATCAGATAGATGCCACACATAAGCTTTCAGGGACTTTATTATAGGTCTGGACTGGGTTAGTTGATCATCAGTGACTAGTTAGATCAACTCGTAGGGTGTATGTCTAAAGTTTGAAGGGTCCTGGGTTCAAATACTGGTCTGACTGTGCATTTATCTTTCTCTATTAACAAAATTGGCAAGCTTGCCAACCTTTGATTCAAGCAGTGGGTTAATTCTTGGCGTTTCTTCGGGCGCGTTGACTTAAAAAGGATGGAGGAATGTAGCAAAACAGGACTGGGTCAAGCGTCGGTGACCAGGCTCAGTTGATAGAGCATCCATCTAGAGTTTGGAGGGTCCTGGGTTCGAATCCTCGCCGTGCCGTGCATTTAAAAATAGACGAACTGGTTATTCCACATAAACGAACAGGCGCCTGGTTTTCATTTTACCATTTGGAGGCATTCGACAAGGAGATCAATTTTGATCTCATAATTATATTCTGCCTCACACAGTTAAACAAGATTAGATTAATGATAAAACAATCTAATTCAATATACTGCTAAAGATCTCATAGGGGCAAGTGCACTTCTCACACCATTTTTTAAGCTATGGACAGACATTAAATGAAAATATAATGTACAGTACATCAGTTTGAATCCCACTTTTACACCACGGTTGTTAAATTCCTTCTAGGGTATTAAAATCAAGTGATACATAGAAAAATAAGTCTTTGCACTAAAATGACATTAAATTAGCAAAATCAAAATATTCAATTTGGGGCGGGTCCAGGTGAGGGCGTAATGGGCGGACACCCCCCCCCCCCTTTTAAAAAAAACAAACAAAAAAACTGTTGTAATATAAAATATACATGCTCTAAGTCAGGAACTGTTACATTAGTGCATTTCATAATTATTTTATGTTTTTTAGCAAAAAAAAAATCGACTCGCTCAGCTCGGCGAAACATTTCATTCTACTCCCCCTCTTTCAAATATCCTAGAAACGCCCCTGAATATGAATAAGAATTAGTACATTAACGCAAACCTACATTACATATATATGAGATGGTTTCCGTAATTAGGAAAAAATGCAGGAGAAAGTACGGATTCCCTTATCCGTTTTGTATTTTTCTTTCTCCGAGACACTTCCTGTGACGTAATAACAAAAATATGGCGGAATGAGAATTTAGGAGAAAGCTATGTCAGGACGACCGCCGAATGAAAGGTTCGTATTAATTCTATGTCCTCATTTATAGCTGCATGATGTAGTTTTGGAATATGTTAACATTATCCCCGTTGTCTATATCTACTGCAGTACAGTAACAACGTTAAAACGCAAATAATTCGCTGGCATTTTGGCGTCTGTCCTTCGAATACACAAGTAGCAATCATCAACATGATTAAAGTAATTGCATCCGCTGGGAGTTTCAGTATATAGTATGCTTTGGAATAATCTCAGCTCAGCTTGCGATCGTTGATCTCAGAGCTACATGATCTACAGTGATAAACACTTTGAGAGATTGTCGCCTGTGTACAAGTGCCATTATTTAAATGGCATAACATACTCTTTGAAAAATATAGATAATATATGTGCAGTATGTAACAAATATTGAATATAAACTTCATTAGATTAAAGAAAAATGAATAATATATTGCAGTATTCTTATGATAAGATATGCGAAAGGATGTAACAATCAGGTGTTTGCAGTAATGTTTTATTGTTCTTTAATCTTTTGTATATATGCTCTACAGTAAATCTGTTGGTGGTTTTAAGCCTGCTATTTTTCTAACATCATGGGATGTAGGACATTCGGCCCATATGGTCCTCCTTGGCAGAATGAATAGTGCACTCGTCTTTCAACTCACCGTTGTCGACGCCATACCATTAGTCTTCGACTACTATTGACGCTTCTACTAATTCTACTGGTACGGACTCCCGGTCTGCACCTCCCGCTCTGTAGCATGCGGGGCTGAATTTTCCTGGGTGGAGTTTCCACGCACGGTTCAGTCTTGATTTGAAACAGTTTAATGTTGGGGCGTTTATTACGGTGGAGTCTAGATTGTTCCACGGTTCGGTCACTCGGTAAGAGAATGCATTTCCTCTTAGTTTGGTCCTTAAACTTTTCTTGAAAAGTTTTTTGTTATGTCCTCTGGTGTTGTGTACATTCTGTCCGTCCGCGAAAGTTGTGAATTTATCCACGTTGGCATCTACAAGTCCATTGCATATCATCATGACATTCAGGGTTTGTTTCTCAATCAGACATATACTTCCTGAGTATAGTAGTGTCACTTGGATGTGTATGAATTGTGACACTCCAAACAACTCAAACCTTGTATTCGACTTGTCAACCCTGTCGTCATCTAAATTGTGTTTGATAACTTAGAGGAAAGTCATGAGGAATATAGCCCAGCCGTGTCATCTTCCCCATTCAAAACCCTAGCAGCTGGTAAGAATTTACGGTGCTCGACTTAAAATTTTGAAATTAAATTTCTAGTCAATAAAGAACAAAAAAGTAGAATTCCATACCATGCTAGACATATGCAAGACCACACACTTGTGTTTTTCTAATGAATCAGAAAGCACGAGTATATACGTCCGTGCAATAAATTAGTGCTTTCTGATTTGTTCGAAAAACACAAGTGTATGGTCTTGCTTTTATCACATACATTTCGTATTTGGTAGAGATTGATGTAACGATTTTATAAACTTTTCAGTTCACCATGACAAGAGGTTTCCCATAAAAGTAGTACCGGCTAGTAAGTAAATACAACATTCTCGTATCGCACATGCATGTGCAATACAGAACGCTGTATTTCATGGTCTGAACAATTGCTTGTATTACTAGAACAAGATTCAACAGGTATATATATGTGATAAATTATCAAACCAGATATTGTCACAGGGACAGAAACTTGGATATCGGGAAAACATCATCGATAGTGAGGTATTTCCTAAATCCCTGGGATGTAGCCCATTTCGCCTGGACATAAAAAACAGGTGCTAGAGGTGGTGGCGTTGTCATCCTGGTTCAAGATATAATATGTAATCAACCACATCTTATGACCAACTGAGTTGATTTGGGTAAAATTAGAAACCTGTGGTTCCAGGGTTCTCCCCAGGCCATTTAGCTGATACGGCTTCAGTTTGAAATCCTCCCTGCCGTATCAGCTTAATTGACCCGTATCACCTTAGACTGTGAACCGTATCACCTTGTTATTTGTACTGAAGGTGGTCTTTTTACGCAAGAAATTGACACTGATTAAATCACACGGCTGACCCAAGTCCAGCAATGACCCCACTGGTCATGATCAGTTGCACGATAGGCGTATTGCCACAGGGGGGCTGTAATTAGTGGGGAGGGGGACCGGACGACAAGCCCACAGGTGTCCGGCAAGCGTGCTCACTGGAGCCTAAAGCAATTACCACCGGATCCTTTTAGCATGGTCAACAGGTGATTAATTGAGGTACCTACTGTTGGATTAACAAAACAAACACTTATTACATCTATTATAAATTAATTTACTCACATATGATTGCATTTGACAACGCTGAAATAGCGTGTGTATTGAGTTAGTGATGGTCGCCATCTTGGATTGTGTAAAGTACAAACCGGAAAGGGAAATGAAAATCCGGATTTGTTGTTTTTAATGAAGAAGAGCTCAAATAAAAATGCTGTTTTAATCTTTGATCACATTTACTGACAGCAGTATTTAATACAGTTTTGGAGGAAATAAAAACAATGTACATTTTATTTAAACATTTTCTCTTACAATAATAAGAACTATGATATAAACGTTTTCATGTGAGTGTTTCCCCCTATAGCACAAACAGCTTTTAAATATTTCTTCTTTAAATTATTTTTAATGGGGATTAAGTAAAGGATACAAATGTAAAGATAAGAGACAAATGTCACAAATGTCATATCTATTATTCAATGTACAAAACTCATACACCTTTCTATAAATTGTTTTTTTTTTTAGAATATTAAAAACAATAATATTGCTGGAAATTCAGACATAAAAAACACTTATTTATTTCCTTGGTTTTAATGTTCACCAAAAGAAGTTTGGTTAATAAAAGTAACCTTTTAAACATAATATTACCCCCCCTCCCCCCGCCTTAGGTTTGATAAGGTATAATAAGGTATTATATTAGCGTGTCCGTCTTGAATTTTCGTTGCAGATGAAACATATCAGCTTAAAAAAATTCTGGGGAGAACCCTGGGTTCTATCTGCTATACGTAGCCTTCTTTTACAAGCCAAATGAGCATGATCAGGTGAGTGTGGAAGAGCTTACTAAAGCATTGGACACATTAAAACAAAAAACAAATCCTGAGGTCATGCTTGGATATTGGGCGATCAGCCCATCACTCCCATATACCAAGATTTCATCAATATCATGGATGATCGTAACCTCATACAAATGGTAAATAAAAGTTCTAAAACCAACCTGCGAGGAAAATATCCTGGATCTTTTCCTGACAAACAAACCCACCTTGGTCAGTTGAGTCGCCACACTTCCAGGTTTGTCATATCACGATGCAGTGTATGACGAGGTAAGTCTGCAAAGTAAGCCAGTCAAACAGAAACCTAGGTTATACACTTGTACAAAAAGACAGACTGGGATAAACCCGGGGTAAGAAGAACCACCACAATAAAACCTCAGAAGATCTCTGGTTTGAGTTTACCTCAGAACTCGATCATCTATCCTAACAAAAATGGTAGGATCCAAGAAATCTATGGATAATGCAGAAGATCATGTGCCATATCCGGAAAAGAGACAGTCTGTACTACAAGTACAGGAAGTCTCGGATGCCAAGAGACAAAATTAAATTTTGCACCATAGGTCTACACCTGACTCTGAAATTAATTAAAACATCACACAACAGATACCTCGCAGAACTCCATGGTATACTGGAAACAGAAGATAATCAAGTAAGTGAATGCAAACCATGCAACACCAAAAAAACGTCCAGCTTCTTAAAGTCAAGCAAGCAGGATGCACAAGGTTTTGGACCATTAAAAAAAAGATGGACTCCTTTACACAGGTAACATTGACAAGGCTAACATTTTAAATGAGCAAGTTCAATCCGTGTTCACTGAGCTTGAAAATTCTATGCCAGCAGCAGGGAGTATAACTAGTATGTTGGATAATAAAAACCTTAATCCAATCAGCAAATGTTGCTCTTCAAATAAGGTGAGAAAACTAAAATTGCTAACTACCGTCCAATCTCTTTTACTTGTATCCTATGTAAGGTAATGGAACACGTCATCACCTCCAACTTGGTAAAACATTTTAATATCAATAACGTCATGTATGACCTTCAACATGGATTTAGAGAAAAACGTTCATGCGAAACACAGCTAGTCCAGTAAATAGAAGACCTTGCAATAAATTACATATTCAGGTAAGCAAACGGACATGATTTTATTGGATTTGTAGCAAGGCATTTGATAAAGTTAACCATTCTAAAATATTATACAAACTACAACAGTACAGAGTAAAGGGACACAACCTCCAGTGAATCAGAGGCTTCCTCTCGGACAGGTACCAGCAGGTTGTCCTGGGAGGTGATACATCGTCAAAGGTCAAGGTAACATCTGGTGTCCCCAGGGGGTCAGTATTGGATCCAATCTTGTTTTTAGCCAATATTAATGACCTCCCTGACCATATAACAACAAAAGCCCATCTTTTTGCGGATGATACCGCATTATATTTGTCCCTTAGCAATATCAACGATGCAGCCATACTCCAAGAAGACCTTGAAAAGTTGCGATTCTGAAAAATACCTGGACTATGGAATTTAACCCCAGTAAATATCCGGTCATACAAATTACAAGGTCAAAAACATCTATTCCATCCAGATACGTACTTCACAACCAAACTTTAGAAACTGTTCCACATGTAAAATACCTTGGAGTTGATATTTCACATAACCGTACACGGAATAAACATGTACATCAGTTGAGTAGTTCGACTAATAGATTATTAGGATTTTTTTAAAGGAATTTAACAGTGAATAACGATAAAATTAGCAGTACGCCCTACACCACCCCAGTCCGTCCCCAGTTAGAGTATTCAGCCTGTATCTGGGCCCCTCTAACACAACAGCTTAGTTACCAACTAGAGATGGTCTAGCGCACCTACTTTCAAGGTCACAGTTTAAGAATGAAAATGACCTTGACCTACTTTCAAGGTCACATGGTGAAATGTGTCAAACACCT